GTATGTGAACAGTGAGATGTTTGGGCGCTGAAGTCGCCATAGCCATTTGAGAGTGAATTCGTATCTGAAGCCATATCTCTGAGTTTTGAGTGGGCGCATGTCGCCAGTGTGCTGTGTTACTGTTTACATGTGTGAAAAGTGTGTTTGAAAACGAGTCTGATTGCAATACCAAATCACCCTCTTTAAATTCTGCTGGCCTTCAGTGCTTGTTCGCCCCAATCAACCTAGTCTGGTTGAATGTATGTGTGGAGCACTTGCTGTAGCAGCTTGTTCACCTGTTTGGTCTGCCCATTAGTCTCGGGTTGTCTACTGGATGACATCGTTAGCCTCGATCCGCAGAATTTCATCAGTTGCTGCCAGTGCTCGCACGTGAACCTAGTGTCTCTATAGTCAAAAGGTGCCCGTAGTTTTTGACCCAATGATTGAAGAACTCCCTAATGACTAAGTTGGTCTAACCTTAGTGTCCATAGAGTTTATCGATACGGAGTCTCCAGGACCGGACTGGATAGGCAACGGTTTCAACAGTCCGGGGGCAGGCTGCATGGAGCTCGTTCCGCTAATAGACCTTGCATCCTTGAACGTACGCTATACAATCATGCTTTATTCCAACCCACGTATAGGACCAGAGGAGATTGGCATAAGTCTTCCTCTAACCAAAATGGCTCTCGGTGCCATGACATTCCCCTAAGATCAAGCTGTGGATTGTCTCATTGTTTGGAACGCACAGCCTATCGTTCACATCCGTTTTTTCGAACAACAATCCGTTGCGACTCTATAATCTAGGACTTCGTGAGTTGCGATCTGCACCTTCTTGATCAGATCGCTATAGAATTAGTATAGATTGGATCATCAGCGTACGCAGTTCTAATCTTCTGCTGCAGTTTAGTACCAGCGTCGAGGTACGTCAATATGGCACTGAAAAAATCTGTGCGCCCACTCAGTGCATCAGCGATGACGTTGTACTTGCCCTTTATGAGCTTCAGTTCAAAATATATGGGCCCAGCCCACCTAGTTAATTTAGAGGTCATCCGAGCCTAGGTTTTCAGCCATCTCAAGGTCTCGTGATCAGAATAGACCTTGAAGTGTCTCCCTAGGAGATGTGTCACCAATGGTTTAGTGCTTTTCTTAAATGTGGCAAGGGCGTTAGTGAACCCAAACGGCATGATCACGGACTCGTTGTGGCTGTATCTGGTCCTAAAAGTTGTCTTGTGCTGGTCTTCAGGTTGTACCTCTATTTAATGGTACCCCGACTTCAAGTCAATCTTTGAGAAGTACTGACACACTTGCATCTTGTCCAGCAAAGGATCTATCCGCGGTAGCGGCTCGACATTCTTCACGATCACTGCATTCAGTCCCCTATAGTCAATGCACATATGCAGTTCGCCTTCCTTCTTTGGCACGAATAAGACCGGTGCGTCGTATGGCGAGGAGGCAGGCCTTATCCACCCCTTCTCAATCAACTCGTCTAGTTGCTTGCACAGCTCGTCCAATTTCATGGGAGACATTTGGTAAATGGGGCCCTTGGGAGTTTTGCTACCAGGTTCTATCTCAATCGGGTGCTTAATTACCTTGTCCACTACTCCGGTCGGGACCTCTCCCACATCAGCAAACTCTCTCAACAAGTCCTCTACTTGGGGCGGTGTCCTCTCCTCCTCTTTCCGATCCTCACTCAGCGGTCTAACGTAGGCAACGAATACCTGGTCAACCATACCTTTCTTGACCATGTGCCTAGTGAACACGGGGGCACTCATGCAACAAAGAGACGGACTGGACTCTGCTCCTGACTCATGGAACAGCCGCATCTTTTCCTTGCCACCTTCGGGGCTGGGCAGCCAGCACTTGTGCTCGCCCATCTTCACATCTGCGCAAGCGGCGTTTCCCCAATTAGTCCCTAGGATGAAGTCAAAGGGTAGGTTATCTTCCACTAAGAGGGTTAGGGAGTGCAAGACTTTCTCCACCTTGTTCCCCCCCTCCAACTGGAAGTATGAATTAATCCCATTGACGTATTCACTCACTACTATTTCTCGGTCATTGGCCAGTTTACTCATAACCAGCTCCTGCAACTTCTATATCTTCATGGTGAGATGCATCTTTTGCAGTCGTCTTCGGCTAATGTAGCTACATGTTGATGCACTATCAACTAACGCGCCTGCTCATTCTCCACTAATCTCTACATCTCCTATAATTAGCTGCCCTTTCGGCGCTTACTTCATTCCGTCCCAGGCTTGGCGGCGAGTGATCAGCTCATCACTAATGCCTGCGAGGGAGCCACTTAGAGAGATCCTAGGTAAGGGCCTACAACAGCCTCTACCATGGGGACCTTGAGAGAGGAGGGTCCCTGTTCAGCACGCGTCTCTGCCTGTCTGTCTGAGTCTGAAGGCCCAGTAGGAGCAGCTGCAACTCCTACTCGCTGTTCCCTTTTGGGTGCTTGTATTCAGGGCAAAAGGGAATGATGTGGCTGGGGTCACCACATTTGATGCACAGGCCCTCGTCGATCCGTTTCTTCCATATATCATATGCCATTTTGAGGTCCTCCAAAGGCTTGCCTTCCGCAAGCCCTGGGCGTGCAGGGTAAGGCCTTTGTCCTCTTCCTCTTCCCCAATTGGAGGGAGAACCACGCCCAACTCGCGGGAAACCATTACCCATACCTCCCGCATGGTAGTTCCCATCTCCACTACTCGCCTGAGTGGCGGGTCCTCTACTTCCACCTCTACTACGGCCTCCTCTACCTCGGCCACCTCTTCCTCGCCCTCCCCCACAGGCTGCAGCGGCCGCATAGTCCCCTCCTTGGGCTACTTGGTCATCGTCTGTGTCCTCCAGTCCGTAGTCAATTTGTTCGTAGGGTATTGCCTCGACCCCCCCTTCCTCGAATGTGACTAGAAGACTATCTTTCCCCTCTATATTACCTGATATAGTCTTGTTCTTCCACCTGTTCCCCCTCTGCAGGTCCTTGTAATAATGACAATAATTTGCTTCTTGAAGGAAGTTGGCCTAGCCTCCTTACTGAATTTCTCATATGTCATGCCCTTCTCTTTGGTCCGGGCATACAATTGGGACCTAAGGGGATCGGGAAGTGCCCAGGCCAAATTATTTAGGATCTGTAGGGGCGTCAAGCCATAGTCCGAACATTGCAACAAGTTCCAACAACTCGTCCATGGTGGAGTTAAGTGCGAACATGCTCTTCCACCTTCGGTGCCCTATGTTGAGGATTATATATTCACTACACTGAGCCAGGTTCTTGTGCTCGAACCTCTCCTTCAGGGCCCTCATAAAGTCCTCTGCGGGTTCGTTGGGAATACTCAACCATCGTAGTACAACCTGCCGCCTTCACCGAGGATATGGCGAAGTTGGCAGCGTCTCCACCAAGGCACAAGCTTGCCATCATACACGATCGTGGTAAGGGATCAACTGCTCGTACAGGTATGTGTCCATGGCTGCCTCCCATTGCGGAAAATTTTCCTCCCTCTTTCCTGTATACATCCATGGGAGTTTCACCTTCATCTTTTTTCTTCTCTCCCCTTCTTCAGATTGCTTTGCATCCCTCTTCCCGTCTCCTTCTCCTTCATTTTCTATCATCTCCATCTCCCAGGTCTCCTCCACCACCTCTAACTTTTTAGTTGTTGTGATGGTGCTTATGATCTTCTTGGTGAAGATATCCTCTGATTGGGCTGTATAATTGGAGGTTTTGTCGTCAATTTTGTGGGCGGACGCGGAGATGAAATTGTTCCATCTTCCTTGGAACTCTTCTTGGTGGTGCTTGATCTTCCCTACGATACAATGAAGGGAGGTAAGTTCCTGGGTGGTGTGCAGCAGTGCATCGGTCATGAGGGTCAAGGTCTCCTTCGAGTCGCCTTCCTTACCTCTCTGCTCCCTCAACCTTTGTTGTAGCGCCTCTCCTTCCTCCTTCAGCCTCTTCTTCTCCTCAAAGTCCTTTCTTTTCTGGGTTAGGAACCGCTGATCCTTTCTAGAAATTAGCAGCCCTCTCTCCTTATGATCGATTGCCTCCAGCTTTGCTGCGAACTCCTCCCTTTCCTGCTTGGCCTCATTTGTCGGCATTTCAGTTCTAAAGCCAAATTGTTCCATCCACTTCCTGGTATCCTCCTGGTGGAACTGCAGTTGGCTGGCCTGGCTGCTTTCTCCACCGCCCTCCTTTCCCACGGTTTCTACCACTGCTCCCTTTCCCCTTCTATCGAGCAAACCTTCTTCTTCTTCTTCTTCCTCTCCTTCGGTCTCCAACTGTTTTTCCATCTCCTCTTCCCTTTTTTTCATGTGATGTACTGACCATGTTGGGGTGGGGTTAAGTGCTCATCTCGGGCCTTAACTTTCATCCCAACTCACTTTGCCTTATGGTAGGCATTCTGATTTTCAATCAGCAGGTTGCATGTTCGATGCCTGGAGGGAGCGATTGCGATTTTCAGATATTGGATTTCGCGCTTGAAGGCTATGATTATGAATGAGAATGAGCCCTCTTTTTCATCTCTTTTTCCTGATGTCTCATCTTCTGCACTGTTTTCTCAAGTTTTCTTTTTAATTCATCCGCCTTCTTCCTCTTCTTTTCCTCTTTCTCCGTTCTCTTCTCCGCCAGCCTGACATCAATCTCTGCTTGTTCCTGTTCTGAATAGGCTGAGTTGTCCTACTAGATTTCATCGTGGTGCACATCCCATTGGTCAGTTCCAAGACACGAGTGAGAAATTGATGTATTCTTTAATAACCACATCGGCAAAAACAGGGTCCGCATCGTATTTAGCTAAATCACTACTCAATTTTTGAGTCTCAAGATAATCAATGTAACTAGACAAGCTGCAAAAAAGAACATAATAGTTCCGGAAGTGTACACTTTTGATAAATCTAAGTTGTGCCCTAAATCCCACAATAAATGTCGAATTCCGTTGCTCATATGATAGCATAGTGCTAAGAAAGCTAAATTGAACAAACTGAAGATTAACCAATGAAAATAACAAATGAAGTAAAAAACAAACAAATAAAAGTGATAAAAAGTCAGACTAAGTTCACAAATTTTGACAAAAAGAATACTAAATAAAACAGTAGTAGCTAAAAAAGCACCACAAATTCTATGAAGAATAGAGAAAGTAGAAGTTAATTGTGGCTTATAAATAGTAATATGAGGTGATAATGGTGGAAAAGAAAACGGAGCAGCGGCCTCCATATCACGGACAAGGCCAAGAAAGCGAACATAGTGTAGACATCCATGTTGAAGGTCAACACAATTAAGTTGACTCCGCCTCCTCACCAAGTAGACGTGCTCCTCAAGGCTTAACCTTACTTCTTTTGACCTAGGTCACCTAATTCCCTTCCGACTACTGTCACTACAGCTCCCCTTCAAGACGGGTGGCCAACCAGATGTTTAAGGTCTGCTAGCAAAAGACCTCAGAAATTCTTTAATGACCCAGTCAGGACGTCGTGGCCGCCAAGTCTTAGGTTGCTCTCAACAATTAAAGCTCCTCACTGTGTCATCACCGGTTCAGTCGCATGCCGGTTAGAACCAGTCTTAGGGCTATCCGGGCTGTTTTACGAGCGCCCGTCACTCACGCCCATGTTTCCTCCTTACGGGTGATTCCTCCAGTTGTCGAGCTTCTATCAAGGACTTGGCTTAAAACACTCACGATTCTTGATCTCTCACAGGGTTAGGGTCCCACTGGGTTCACATTCCCCCAGGTAGGCCGGCAACCACTAACCACTTCCCCACAAGCGGAGGAGCATTTCCTCCAAGAGAGAATCAGTCCTCTGGACTAACACACAAGCTCAAGCAGATCCAGTTGCTAACTCAAAGACAATTGCAAACGATGACATCAACGAAATTGACCAGCAGCAGCGTCTCCAAGAAAGTGGAAGGTACTCGAGCACAACAAAATTTTAAAGCAACAATCACAGGGCTTAAGGGGGCGAAGCACTTCACTCCTGAACGTTCCTTTGATGCAGCTCCTCAATGACGCTCCTCACATGCAGGTATGTGTATGTGCTCCTTCCAACCTCTATTGCCCCTTCTCCTTTGGCCGTCTACTGCAGTCAAACCCTGATCAGCTTCCCTCCGGCCTTATACTTTGCCAGCGCCCCAACTCAAGTGGATGCAGCATGTTCCAGCTCCGATACCAATGCAAGGATCCGCTCAGATTCACTCTCCACACAACATGCATTATAAAAGCTCACATGAAGATTCACACCAAGACCAGATATGGAACACCAAATCAGGGGAGCTCGGAAACTTCAATGAATACTCATGTTATACAAATTCAGAGTTCACGTAGCCAGTGCTCATCAGCGCAGCCAACAACAACCTCAATCAGGTATGTAACCAA